AACTGGCCCCCGCCCCAGCCAAACTGGGCGCTAGGAGGCCCCACCCCTCCCCCACTCCCTGGGTAGCCAGCCCGAGGGGTGAGGGGGGGGATGGAGGGGTCAGATGCCCCCTCCCTGCCAGCCTCATCCCTCTCTTCAGACCAAGGCTGAGAGAGATGAGGGGGTGGACCCGTCCCCATCCGCACCCCGGGACCGTCCGGCCCCGCCCGCCCCGCCCCGCCCGGGGGCGCCTCCTGCGCCAGTCTGCATCGCGCCGGGCCGCCCCCGCCCGTCCGCCCAGGGCCAGTCCCGGGTGGGGTCGGGGCGTTCCTGCCCTTACCCCTGCCCCTGCCCCAGCTCCAGCTCCAGCTCCAGCCCCTACTCCCGGGCCCGGGCTCGTCGCACCGCCCCCCTCCCCCAGTCTGCGGGGCCTCGTCCCAGAGCCTAGGAGAAGAGGGGCGCCCCTGGGAAGACTCCCTGTCCTCAGGCCACTGCAACCCCCGTAGCAGCCAGGGGGCAGGGGGCGGTGGCACGAGCTAGGAGCTCCTACCCGGAGCTCGCTCTCCAGCCCGCTCGGGACAGCCTGCCTGCTAGGGGTGGGATGGGTCTGGCTCCCGGAGCAGCCGCCTGCTGGAAGGGGGAGGGGGGAAAAAGGAGGAGGAAGAAGAGGAGGAGGAAGGGGGAGGGGGAGGAGGAGGAGGAGGAGGAGGGGGAGGAGGACAGAACATGCCCGGGTGAGCACCCGGGACAGCCCGCGCTGCTAGGGAGAGAGGCGCTGGGGGAGGACTCAGAAGCCTTCCTCGCTGCCTCCTGCTCCCGGGACAACCCGCTCGCTACATGTAGAGCCGGCCGGGGCGGGTCTGCGCCGCCTGGGCCATCCCGTCGGGAACCAAGGGGTACCGAAGGGAGGGAAGGGGTCCCTTGCCTCGGATGGGGAGACACTGCGGGATCAGACTGGGCTGTGGGTGGGTGGAGAGAGATGACCACTCAGACACAAGCAGGGCTAGGACAGACGGACAGCACTCAGACAGACAGACAAGACACACGCGGACACTGAGGGGAGGCGCGGGCGCGCACTGACCGTTCCAGTTTTCACCGGCACATACACCACTTGACCCATCTTCGGCTCCCTGCTGGTCCCCAGCCGAAAGCCCTTGGAGCGGACCCAAAACTGGAACTTGCCTTTCTCCCCTGATGAGGGGCCGCCGTTGCCGGCACCCGTGGTCCCGCTGCCCCCGCCTTGCAGGACCTCGGCGATCCGCTGGTATTTGCTACGAGTGACCGTCTTGGTCTTGGCTGAGTCTCCGTAGGTCCGGAGACACCAGTCCCGGAACTGGCGCCCCAGCTCCGTGTCCCCGGGGCTGCGGTCCCAACCCCCCCGCAGGAGCAGTGTCGGCTTCGGCATCCTCGGGGCCCTTGGGGGCGGGCAGAGAGCGGAGCTGGCCGGCCGGCCGGCCCGGACTAAGAAGGAGGGAGCGACGGGCGTAGGCTAACGCTGGGGCTGGGACTGGGACTGGGTCTGGGGAGCGGCTGCCCCGTCCCGAGATGCGGCGGCGGCAGTGGCGGCGACCTCGGCGGCCGGGACGCGCGGGGCTGCAGCAGGCAGGGTCCCTCCCGTTCCTCCTGCGCTCCCGCGGTGGCGGCGGCGGCTCCTGCTCCTGCTCCTGCTCCCGCTCCTGCTCCGCCTCCTCCTCCCCCCCGGCCGGGATGCAGGAGGGGATGGAGCAGTCGGGACCGGGAGGTGCAAAGGGGGCGGGCGAGTCCCCTCCCCGGGAGGGGCCGCCCCGCAGCCTGTGAGGGGGAGCCCGGGGCGGGTGAGGGAGACGGAGCGAGACACCGGCGGCGCCAGCGGCGGCTGCTGTCAGGCTAGCGGGCTGCTCGTCTCCGTCCTCCTCCTCCTCCTCTTCCTCCTCCTTGTCGTCCTTGTCCTCGCCGCCTCCTCCACGCAGCGGGATCCCACCTGTTAGAGCCGCGTAGCTTCCCTCCCCCTCCCGGCCCCAGGGCAAAGGAGGCTGGGCTTCCCCCCCCCAGTCCCTGGCCCCAGGGGGCGCAGGGGGCCGGACTTCCCACCGCCCCAGCCGGGGCCGCCAGGAGCGCAGGGGGCCGGGCTTCCAGTGTCCGGGCCGAGGCCGCAGGGGACCAAGTTTCCCCCTGTCCCGGCCCCGGTCTCAGTCCCTGAGGCCTGAGAAGCCGAGTTTCCCCCTGGCCTTGGCCCTGGCCCGGCCCCTGGGGCCTCCCTCCAGAGGCCCAGCTCCGCCTTGTCCCAGGCCGGGCAGGGTTGAGACTGGGCCCCCTTCTCGCTGTTTCTCTGCTTGACCCCAACCCTGGCCGCAGGACTGCAAGTCTCCACGTCCCTTCCCCTCCTCTCCCCACTGCCCGAGCTGGGGCCCGCATAGGGCGGAGCCTGCCTCTTCTCCCCTAACAGTCCCCCTCCTCCTCCCCACAGGGCCTGGGGGCAGGTTGGGCAGGCTGCCTCTCCTCCAGTCTCCAACCCCTCTGCACAGCTTTGGGGCCTGAGGCAGGGACTAAGTTGAGTCTGAGAGACTTCTCCCAGCAATAAGGAAAAAAGATGATTGGGGAGGGGGGACCAAGAGCAGTGGGCTTCGTGGGAGCCCCAAACTATTTATCTCTAGACCTCCACCTTCACTTGAAGATCCCCAGAGAATTATACTCAATTGTCTACTTCCAAGAAAAACTTAATTCTTGGGGGCGCGGGGTGTTGTGAAATAGGATGAAATGTTCTAGTCCCTCCTCTCTCCTGAACAGATGGTCTTATGGGGGCAAGGGAGGAGAAGCCCCCAGGTTGGATCTGCCTTCCCAAACAAGAAAAGACCTCAAGAGAGATTTCAGATTTAGGATTTAGAGTTGAAATGAAATTTAGAGATCATCTAGTAAAAACATTCCATTTTAAAGATGAGGAAACTGAGGCCTAAAGAACCAAATGACTTTCCCAAGTTCACATAGCTGGTAAGAGAGCATATGTCTCCCACTGTCAAGTCCGTAGTTCTTTCCACTAAGCCCCTTTCTGTACCCTTTAACCTGGGCGTTCAAGTATTTGTAGACAACTGACCTTGGCTACTTTGCCACCCCCAACAGGGACAGTCCCCTTTGCTCAAAGAAATTACGGGCATAAATAAAGGTTACTGCTACATTCTGCCTGATTTCGGCTCTGTCTTCCAACCAGGTCATCAAGAAACACAGGCCTTCATTTCTAGCCTGCCTCAGGGGGTTCCTCCCACATTTCGTGTGCTGACTCTGTCAGATTGCCCCAGGCCAGCTCCTCCACCAACTTTGGTGGAAATAAAAAGCCCTAGACTCTGGCCCATACAGAACCATTTTCTATCACCAGAAATGTAGGCCCCAGGCTCCATTTCCTGCTCCCTCACTCTGCGGAAGTTTTCCCCCTTGGTCTCAGCTAGGATTGACTAATGTCCTCCAATTTTTCTTTGCATTGAATGTAGGGGGAATTGTTTTAAAATAGTTGAACATTTCTATGTTTTTTTTCTATGTGCCAATGGCTCTGCAAATATGAAATCTGGGTCCTTAATCCTACCACTCTCCTTTGGTTTGAAAATTGGTGTTCCCATTTCACAGACGAAGAAACTGTGGTAGATGCTACATTCATTTCAACAAGACACTGTGATCAGGGCACTGAGTGCTATACAAACTTGTTCGAAAGATAGCTTTTGCCCTCAAGACCTTACAGTCTAGTAGATAAGATGAAACAAGAGCACATATCCCAATGATACAATACAATACAATATGACACAACACAGCAAACATTCATGGTGTACCTACTTTATGCAAGGCACCAAACTAAGGACTGGGTATACATATGTAGTACCTTTTCTGGAACTGCTTCCCCAGTTTGTACTCCCATGGGTTAGAGCTGGGTTCCCAGATAGTAGTTGACCACTATTCTCAAGGTTCCAAGAATAATCTGAGGAACTGTGTTTTCAGTACTGCTGTTCATGAGCCCCCATCAGTGTACTTTCCACTAAAATCAGCCAGACTCAGCTTCTTAGTAAAAAGTATTTGCTAAAAGGGTATAACAAGAACAATAGTTACAAAAAACAATCCCCCAAAAGTCTAGAGTACATACCCCTACAAATACACACAGTGTTCATACAGGGAGTGGACAAAAATTTAAAGTATTAAACCATATGTGTAGAGAACATGTGTGGCAAAGGTGTAACCCACAATTCCTAGCTACTGGAAGTCACTTTCTCCCTTCATAACATCCTTGTGAAGTTCCCCTCGGATGTAGCTCTCTGATGGGCTCTCAGGGTAAGTACCTTTATAGATTCCCTAGCTGTAACTTCTTTCTAACATGAATGGTCATGCTCCCTAAAGCCACCTTTCTTTGAATTTCTATTCTGCTGACTGGATGTGTGGTCCCCTACTGGTCCAATCTATTTGATTCCAGCAGGACGAGCTGTGCTGTTGATCCAATCTCTCCGATGACATGGTCAATAGAGTTGGGGGAGAGAGGAAAGAAAACTCAAGAAACTCTTCTCTTCTTCCCAAGAATGATTCCCTCTCGGGAGCATGGCTCCAATTTGCAACTCTTCTATCACTAGACTTGATCACTAGTCTGCTGTTTTTATACCTAGCACAAGAGTTATAACTTGATCTTCTCAACCAATCACAAGATGTTTCCCATGTGCTATCATCTGCTTTCCATCCAGTGACCAAAACTCCAGAATCCTCTGAAATTGATTAATGACTTATTCATACCTAGCTTACACTTTCAATCAATTGGAGGGGAAGTATCTAGGCTTTCTGTGATTACCATAATTAGCTTGGGGGGTGGAACCCCATCCTTACACTAAGACACATAAAATAAACCCTGATCTCAAAAAACTCATACTATGTAGGGGAACACAATGGGTACAGAGATAAGTCAATACAAAAATTACAAAAAGTAACTTCAAGAGTATATAAACACTAAAAACTGGGAAGAATCAGGTAAGGCCTCCTAGAAGAGTTGATTCCTACATTACTTTAAAGAAAACTAAGGTTTGATGAGGCCAAAGAGAAGACAATAAGTTAATTTGAGGCAAAAACTCAATTCAGTTTAATTCATTTCAACAAACATTTATTTAAAACCTTCTGTGTCCTGAGCCTTAAGCTTAGATGTGTCAGAAATACAAAAATGAAGAAAACAAGATCTCTCTCTAGATGAACTTACAATTAGTAGAGATGACAGGTAAACTGGTCTATTAGAAATACTGCTAGATTTGGAATCAAAGAGACTTGGGTTCAAATCTTGATTCCCGTGATCATTATTGTGTGACCCTGGGCAAGTAACTTAGTTTCTCAGAGCCTCAGTTTCTTCATTTGTAAAATGGAATACTTGTGCTAACAGAGTAGATGTGAGGAATATAGGAAGGATCTATAATTTTTTTTTCTGATGGAAAACTTAGCTACTAAAACTTAGCAAAGAAGTCCTAAGGAGACTTATGAGACACAGAGGGAGGTTTCAAAACCAGGTATTCCTGACTCTATATCCTTATAGCCCATTGCCTCTATAGTGGAGAAAACCGTATATAAATGAGATATAATTATGACAGGTAGCCTAGTATTGTCACGAGAGCCCTGGTTCTTGGGTCAGAAGATCTGGGTTTGAGTACATACATGACTCAATACAACATAGATCTTACTCTCATGGAGCTTTTGGTCTAATGGAGAAAGGAGAAAATAAACAAAAAAAAATAAAGAACAGAAGAAAATGAGACAAAGTCCATTATAAAAGTTTATCAAGAAAAGCCACTGCCAAATGAAAAGGTCATAGGTAAAATGCTGTCTTCCACCTGCTGCCTATCACCTGTGTGACCTTGGGTCAGGCATTTAAACCTCTCTGAGACTCAATTTCTTCAGCCTTGGAACACGGGTAATGATATTTGCATTACATATCTCACATGATTATTATTATTAGGGGGAAAAGGCACCGCAGGAACCTCAAAGTGCTTCAGAAATGTAAACTATTATTCAATCAATCAACAAATATTTATTAATCGGTTACTATATACCAGACCCTGTGCTGGACAGTAGAGATAGAAAGACAAGAGTGAAACAATCTCTGCCCTCAGGGAACTTACATTCTTTCAGAAGAAACAATATATATTCATATTAGGAGATACAAAATATCTACAAAGTAAATACAAAGTAATTTCTTTATTATAAGACACCTAAGACAGATTCAGATAGCATGGTACAGTAGAGAGAATATTGGATGTGGAGTGAGAAGTTACTCAGTCCTTTTAAGTCACAGCTGACTCTTTGTGATACCATTTGGGGTTTTCTTGACAAAGATACTGGAGTGGTTTGTCACCTCATTTTACAGATGAGGAAACCGAGGCAAATAGGGTTTAAGTGACTTGTCCAGGATCATACAGCTAGTAA